GAGTGGGTTGCCGCAGTTTGTTTTTGTTGCCATTTGTGGAGCCTGGGTTGTCTGCATGAGTTTTTTTTTTACAGTGTGTTTAGGGGACAGGCAGCTAGCGGATAGTCAGATGCTTTCTGTATGTGACAAAATGTTTGGGCCTAAAAAACGTGTGAAATCGCTTTGCCCTTACACAAATAAAGGCCTTGAATGAGAACAGAAAGGTCTTAAATTCAAATTAATGGCATTACATTTTGCATGGATTTCACAAAAAATAAAAGTCTGTATTTCTTCTTTATTTCAATACAGTTATCTAAACTCCTTTAATTGAAGCTTAAATTAAGATTTTATTGTACATTTGTGTCTCAAGTAAATGCATTGCTTGAGATGCAAATGTAAAATAAAATCTTGAAAGATTAAACCAAATTATGAGAGTTTATGCTTAAAAGAACAAATATTTCTAAATGATGATAAATTCCTTTTGAATTAAGGTTATTTTTCTAGCTTTTTTGTGTGAAATAAATGAAAAAGTAATGGATATCTGTTGGAAGTTGTATTTTCAAACTCCAACAGATGTCCATTATAGACGTTTACATTTAGATGACGTAATGTGTTCCCTTTCTTATTCCTTAAATTTCCTTTACTTGGTCTTAAAAAGGTGTTTTAAAAAGTCGTACATTTACCTTGATATAGCCTGCAGAAACCCTTATAAATGGTTGTATTTTACATCCATTTGACTAACAACACCTTAACTTGCGACATGTAAATTATGAGCCTTGAAAAATCTTTAAAACGCAAAACAAAATGACAGCTGATGATACTTGATACTGTTTCATTAACCACTTCTGGTTCAAGATCATTGTAGGATACATTATTCCAAGCAGATTTGATTCACAAATGGTAGTAGACTATTCCAAACATGGCTAACATTAGCTCCCCTCGGTTTGAATTGTCTAAAACCAAACATTACATATTAATTCTTTTTTTTTTTTATTGTTGTCTTCCATAGTGTTTTCATAATGGTTTAGAATTCTTTAGTTCACAAATGCAACAATTACATTAGTAATTGCAGTAAAGCCAGATAACCTGCATTGTTTTAACCAACACAGTCACTTAGACTCCTCTGGTAGCAAGCTTTGCTTCAGGCAGTGTACCTTTTATACTTATAATTGTGAATACCCCTCCCCGGCTAGCCCACAATACACCTCTTATTTTACACCCCCACTTCACAGTTCACTCTCACATTACTGTTTTCTTTTTTTTTTGCCTCGGGAATTGATTAGACTCTCAACCCCACCTCCATCCCACACGCTCCCCTTCCCCCTCATCTTTGATCCAGCAGGACAGTCTGCTCCAGAGGGTTGTCCGGACGTGGTTCGCTGTGAAGGGAAGGGGTGTGGTGTGTGGATTGTGTTGACCCTGCACTGACACCCTGATACACTGACACTTTTATGAGCCCGAGCACCATTTACTCAAAGGGCTCTTCCTGGAATCCTGCTGGCTATTGTGTCACAGGCAGCCACTCAGTGCATTGAGCTTTTTTCTGTTCCCCCCCTGTCAGAGAAGCTTGCCATTTAGGAAGCTAAGAAATTTTATTGAAATCATCTTTCATTAAAGTAAGTTTTAACATGCACTAGTTCATGTGTGCCCCAATTTTGTGGCCTGTCCACATTAAGACTGAAAAAAAGATGAACAAACAAAAGAACTTAGACTAGATGGATTTCAGAAAAATGGCCTTCTATAAGAAATGAGGAGCATTTATGGGTACAAGTCAGGAACCGGTCTACCTTAAATATTTCAAGGGTGCCGAATCCCCAAAAAAATGGTATCCAAGTGAATTTTTTTTTAGTTTTTTACCTTCTAATTTGCATATCAAAATGGCCCCCAAATTGCTCAGTTGTTGGACCATTTTCCCCTAGTTTTTTTTTTTTTATAAGTAGGCAATCAGGATGAGGAAATTAAGTTTCTAGATTGATAGTCAAGGGTCAGAGCAAAGATATATTGTAGGCTCACTGCCTTTTTTGTGTATATATATTTGCAAAATACCAACTTTTAAGGCGAGACACTGGGTGAATAGGGTACAATTTGTAAATAATAGATATCACCATGAAACTTCCTTAGTTGATTACTTACACAAGTATATAAAAAAAAGTATTATAAGTTTTTCAAATTTGGGTAACACTTTACAATAAGGTTCATTAGTTAAGTACATTAGTTAACATTAACTAAGAATGAACAATACTTCTATAGCATTTGTTAATCTTTGTTAATGTTAATTTCAACATTTACTAATACCTTATTAAAATCTTGTTAACATTAGTTAATGCACTGTGAACTAACATGAACAAACAATGAACAGCTGGATTTGTATTAACTAACGTTAACAAAGATGAACAAAAACAGTAACAAATGTATTTCTCATGGTTAGTTCATGTTAGTTAATACATTAACTAATGTTTAATAAATGAACCTTATTGTAAAGTGTTACTAAAATTTGTATGTTTAATTAGGCATTATCTCATTAAATATGCTCAATTTTGCATATATTTTCGGTAGATGGATCTGAACACATAATAGAGCCAGGTGAAATTTTTTTTTTCATTTTGTTTACAAGGCTTGGTGTTGAATCCTTTGGCAGTTTGTTAAAAACAGCATCAATTAGGGGTGGAACGGTACACAGAAGTCACGGTTCGGTTCGTACCTCGGTTCAGACCTCACGGTTCGGTACGATTTCGGTACATTGGAGGGAAAAGCAAAACAAAAATACAGAAGGCATTTTATTTTTTAAATAAGTTTTATTAATAAAGGCATAGAACCAGTTAATTTGTAGTGCACTGACAATAGTTTTATATTATTAATTTATTAATTAAATTAATAAAAAGACAAAAAGACCTTGCGATATGTTTGGTAATTGTACCTGAATTAATTTGAAATAATTTTGCTATATTTCAGATCAATATATTTGTTTTCCTTAATTTTAATTAGGATTATTAGGCTAATTAACAATGTAACATTATTCTCATCTGAATTATGAATAATTGATTTCTGTATAAAATAATACTACCATTAAAAACACATTCGATTTTCTTTTTACATTAATGTAGAATGTGTAAGATTAGTGCTCCGAGGATAAGAAATTAAAACCAATGCAATATGACATGTCCAAAAGATGAAACCCACAGACTGTTTTGAAATGGAGTAGGATAAAAATGTTTTACTTTAAAAACTGTGTGTGTGTGTGTGATTTTGGTTGGGTGGCAGTTGTAGGTTACAGTTTGTCGAGAGTTTACATTGTGACAAAAGCACAATGTTGTGTTTTATTGTGAATGTACAAAAATATAAGAACAGTTTTTATGTTTCCACTGTTCTATCTCTCTCTCACACACACACACACACACACCAGCATTGCAATCTTGACATTGCAGCCTGTTCATTATGCGGTCACAACAAACGTGAATAGAGCGCCAAATTCACGTCTATTGCATCTAGTTCGATGCTAGTCCAAAGCGAGGATGCGCGTATAAAGCCAACGTTTGAACGCGCGTTTGAAATAAAGACAACGTTTGAAAGCCGACGCGCGTTCAGAGCATAGACGGTTCAGAGCTAGCCGATGGTACAGATTATGTGTCCCTAAAGAACCCGCGTATCTAACAGTAGTTCCGCATTACATTAATTAATATGCACGCGAGTTTTATTTATTTTTGTACCGTGTATTGTCCGTTTAAATTCGTGCACCAAACCGTGACGCCCGTACCGTTTCGGTTCAATACAAATACATGTACCGTTCCACCCCTAGCATCAATGGGTATATATTGTGGCAGACAACAGCCAGAGTTTTTTACATGCTACGTGCAGGAAATAGGAAACCAGAATCAAAAGCACATCAGTGTTTCTATGACTGCCAAAGGATTGAGCACCAAGCCTTGTAGCATTTCATGCACTAAATGGTTGTGATACCACATCACACATTGCAAGTCACACCTTCGGGCTGGCTTATATTAGTATTCCTCCTGAATCCGAGGTTCCACTACCGGCCGTATTCTCCTCTCCAGTACCTCGGCATAGACTTTCCCAGGGAGGCTGAGAAGTGTGATCCCCTGTAGTTAGAACACACCCTCCGGTCCCCCTTCTTAAAAAGAATGCAATATGACAAATGTCCAAAAGATGAAACCCACAAACTGTTTTGAAATGGAGTAGGATAAAAATGTTTTACTTTAAAAACTGTGTGTGTGTGATTTTGGTTGGGTGACAGTTATAGGTTACAGTTTGTCAAGAGTTTACAGTGTGACAAAAAGCACAATGTTGTGTTTTATTGCGAATATACAAAAATATAAGAACAGTTTTTATGTTTCCACTGTTCTATCTCTCTATCTCTCTCTCTCTCACACACACACAGTCAGTTAGTCAGTTAGTCACCCATATATTGTAATAAACAGATACAATTCAAGCATTTCCATGTAATTAGATTTCACAAACTTATTCCAGTCGACCAGCTCACTTAGCACGGCATTCGTGGTTCCACTGGTTGAGACTGTTTTCCAAGATGGCTCCTGCCTGCATATTCGAAGTGTGTTGTCTTTTATAAAATATCTTCTTATTAAACGGTCTGTACTCTTACAAAGTTCTCAATGCTTCGTTTTGTATGTAGGGACCCTCGTTATCCTACCGTGTAAGTGTGGAGCTATTATGAACTTTGTTAGTGGTATTAACTTGCAATTTATTTTTATTCTTATATGCTAAACAGTTTTTAGAGATAAAACTCTCTACATTCGATTATCATGAAAACCAATCCCAGAGAACAGTCGACTAGGTACCAATGTGTTATTAGACCATAGTTTAATTTTGCGCCAGAGTTGTCCTTCTAAAAAATCTGCAAGTAAACTGAATGATTACTTGAATGTTTTTCACTAAATTATTTGGACCCTGTTTACACTATTGGTGAGGGAGATGACACATTAGTTGGGTACGTTTATTTTTTCTTTTCATCTGCTTACTTCTCTTTGTCCGATCTGTCTTCACAGGTGCTCAATTCTAGCCTGCAGTGCATATGTGGCTCTTGCTCTTGGGGACAACTTAATGGCTCTTAACCATGCAGAAAAGCTCTTGCATCAGACTAAGCTGTCAGGATCGCTCAAGTGAGTGTCTCTCTTCTTCTGGCTGATTTACATCTTTTATGGGTCCTGCACTCACAGCATTCAGCAAACATTTACCCTCCTAAAATGGTCAGTCCGGCATAATGGGATGTTTGATGTGTGGTACAACCAGTTATTTTATGTTTTTTTATTTGCCAAAAAAAGTTACAAAATCCGGGATCCCTTATTCTTTTGTAGTGTTATTTTAGTATCGTCAACAGGTTTTTGTAAATTAGTTTTTCTTTCCGTTTTAATTTTAGTTTTGTTTTGTCAACTGTATATAGTTTTTATTAATTATTAATTCAGTGTTCGTTAACATCAACTTCATCTAAATGAAAATGAGATGTTTCCACGCAACTAGATTTTATATATATATATATATATATATATATATATATTTAAATTTAATTTATTTAATTTCAAGTGACAAAGATTTTATTTTTAGGGTGCTTTTACACTAGCACTTTTAGTGTGCACCCAGGTTCAATTGACGTAAGGTTTTGGTTATTTTGGATGATGTGAACTCTGTTTTCCTAACCTAAGTTTGCTAAAAATGGTTGTCTAGGGTACAATTCATGTAAAATCAGACTAAAACTCTGAATGAACCACTGTTTATAACATGATTCGAAACAAAACCAAAGGGTCAAAAACCAAAATCTAAAAGTGAGGTGAGCAACTCTATTCATTTTGTCGCCTTCTCCTGCGTCGTCATTACCAAGGCAACAAGAATAAACAGCTGCTGCTTTGATGCAAACGCACCGCGGTTTGAACCCAAATAATATTATTTATCACAATCCAGCAGGGGCAAGGGGAGCGGGGAGCAATCAAACTCTGGTCTGAACCTGACATTTGAAGTGTGAACACGTACCCTTAGTTCACTATACTAACCCTTCTTTTTTGCAGACCCTTTTCCCCTCAATTTTTGACCTCCTAAATTGACGTGCTGTTTTGTAAAGTCCTGGAATGTCCAGAATATGATCTCGTAATCGGGTCTGGTTTGGTTTATTCCAGCTTGATTTCCCAGAAACAGATGAAGCTGAGACTAAGGCGCCATTTACACTGCATGGTTCAAGTGACCCAAATACGATTTTCTTCCTCTCATGTGGCACAGATCACATATGACCGGTGAACGTGTAAGCAGGAAAAACGCATGGATTCCGATTTTCTCAGATCGGATTCAGGCCTCAATAAATCGGATATTACCCAGTAAATGCGAGTTGTACGTCATTAAAAAAGTGACGTAAACTTAGGTGGACACCACCAACTGAGATCACATGATTTATGATGGTTATGGAGGTTTCATGTCTTTTGAGTGTTTGGGGTGATGAGACCATGCAGGCAAAAATGCAGGATTGTTACAGAAATAAATCTGTGTTTGAAGACATTTCAGGAGTTGTGGGGAGGCACGATTTTAAGCGCTCGTGGCTACAGTGCCAATGTAAGATAAAAAGCTTAAAAAACAAATACAACGCAATAAAAGACCACAACAATAAGAGTGGAAATAGCTGTGCAACATTCCCATTCTTTGACCAAATGGAATGCGTTTTGGGTGACAGGCCAAGCCGACAAGGGCTCTCCTCTTTTTTTTTTCTCCGCTGTCTGACTTTTTTGATGACTTTTCAAAATATTGTGGAAAGCTAAACCCTGGATAATTCATCCATTGCATTTCGTGCTGTTTTACTTCCTTTTCCAGGTCAGAACGTCTACATTTGGTAGTTTCAGCAGTGTATAGTGTAAATGCAAAAATCAGATACGGGTCACTTTTAAAAGATGACGTAAGCGGGTCGTCAAAAAAATCGGATGTAGTCAGAAAATCGGATTTGGGCATGAAGACCTGCAGTGTAAATGTGTGGGGAATCCGCGTTCGCAATGTAAAGCAGTCAGTTTAGCATTAGGCTTTGTCTTGAGAAGTGGCTTTAAATAATGTATTTAGCTGATCAATAATACATTTTTGATTAGTTGTGTGGTGTGTGTGTTCTCAGGTTCCTGGGTCACCTATATGCTGCTGAAGCCCTGATCTCTCTGGACAGAATCTCTGACGCCATTGCACATCTCAATCCAGAGAATGTCACCGACGTTTCGTTAGGCGTGTCATCCACCGAACAAGACCAAGGTATGAAAGTGAGCACATGATCAAAACATACAAATGTCAAAGGATGTGATGTGTGGTTACTGACATGTGCCTGTGCTGTCAATGACAGGTTCTGATAAAGGTGATCTGGAGCCTGTTGAGTCCTGTAAGTGTTTTGTTTTTTAATGTATTCATTTATTTAAAAAAATGTTTTATTATATTTTTTGTGGCTATAAAGTAAAAATAATCTGTGTTCTACAGCTGTCCTGGTATCATTAAAAAAGAAAGTAAAGCCTCATTTAAAAAGATACAATTCTTTAAAAGACAGCCTTAAGTAGTTTGCTTGTAGATCTTTATTATTCTAAAAAATGAAAATTATAATTAAGTCAGTGAAGCAACAAATTTGTAAAAACATTATAAATATTTGATAAAACATTAACATATACAATGTATATATACAATGTGCAATATAGATTTTTGGAAAATAATTTAGTTACACTTTATTTTAATGTGTTCTTGTTGCAGTGTAAATATACATTTAAGTGCAGAGTAATACTATTAACAACTTGTACTTACTATATAATTTTTATATTTAAAAAAAAAAAAACTCAGAAAAAAAAACTCAGAATAACAGGCATTGATTAATTGTCTTATCAAGTGTATAGTCTGGTTTATTATGTATGCATTTATTAATTTTTGGTGTTCTGCAGCAGGGAAACAGACGCCTTTATGTTACCCCAGCTCAGTAAGTGCTGCCCGGGCCACAATGCTCTTCAACCTGGGCAGTGCGTATTGCTTGAGGAGCGAGTACGAGAAAGCCCGCAAGTGCCTCCATCAGGTAAACATTCATCTCATGTGAAGCACTCACATTAATGTGTAGTTTACCACTGATAAACCACAATAATGCAATTATCTATCTGTACACTACATGCATACAGTTTAAACACTCTCCAACCCATTTGTTTTCTGATTCTCGGCTGTATAGGCTGCTTCAATGGTTAACACTAAGGAGATTCCTCCGGAAGCCATATTATTGGGCGTCTACTTAGAACTGCAGAACGGTGAGTCATGCACACAGATTTTAATCACACAGTGCCTGCTGAGAAATGTCTCTCTATTTCCAGGAGGTGTCTGGTCACCTTTTCTCACCTGGAATCATTTCACTTTTTTTTTTTTTTTTGATTAATGGTTTTAACACTGTGATCGTTTCTTCCACAGGAAACACACAGCTGGCCCTACAGATCATCAAACGGAACCAGCTCCTCCCCTCCGTCATGCCCATCTCCTCCCCTGACCTCCGTAAGAAACCACTTCCCTTCCAGTCATCACAGCCAGTACAGCCCATACAGACCCCCTCCTCCTTTACACAAGTACAGCGCAAGTGATCCCACTGACACAAACCCCCAAAAACATGCACAAACATCTTTTTTTTTTTTTTTACATTTTATTTATGATGCTGCAGCAGCCAAGATGGATGATGGGGGGAAAAAAAAACAAGGAAGAGAGTTGTAGACTGGTTGTCTGTTGCAATCGGTTAGAAATATGTACGTGTTTTGGGGTCTATGAAATTATAAATAAATTTTATTTACACTTGTTAATGGTGTGATATTAATGGGGTCAGTGACAAACTGCCATACATGAAATTATACAGATTATGAGTAAATTATTTCTGGCAAATCTGCATGGAGCCCTTATATTGCGATCACGTGGATGTTCAAAATCGATGGACCAAAGGTCACTGTTAGCATAAAATCATGGACAATTGTCTGACAACAGTCATGGCAAATAAATAAAAAAAAAAAAAACAGTCCTTTAAAATGTAGAAGCTTTTAAATATCTCAATTGTATAACTTGATTCCTTCTCTACTGGTGCATAAGACTCAAATAAATGTCCTGATTTCTAAAAGCTCGTCCCTGGCGTGGGTGGACAGATGTCGGCTTTCTTTCATGTGTGGTCTCTCCTTTTTTGCCATTTTTCCTTAGGGTGGCCCATCACCTTTCTCATGCAGGGTCTTTCTTATGCTAAATCCCTCTGGCCCCACACCCCCTCTTTTTCCACACACATCTCTCCCCATTGTTTCTCTCATCTGACGTCCTGTCAATGATGCTTTGGACTCGAGAAAGAGCTCTTCTTTAAGCCTTTATGGGTTTTTTTTCCAGCCAGATGCTAGTGCCAAAACGCAGCTCAATAGATTGTTCCCCAAGAGGCTTTTTCATGTTCGTACAAACGCATTTTTACTGCATCATGGATAAGAAAGTTATGCTGTCCAAATGCAGGCAAATTGAAGAGGTCAACTGTTGGTTTCTTATAATGAATACAGCTGAGCAAGTGTTTCTTATATATAGCAATGCTGTTTTATGTAGGAGGGTGACCCCTTGGAGAGGCCGAATATGAACGAATGTGAGTTAGATGTGAACTGTGAATCTGAGCTGTGTGTGCAACCAAAAAAAACAAAAAACAAAAACATTCCCAACAAGTTACCGAGTTGGGTGAGCCATAAACTTTAAACATGGTGGAGGGGAGAAACATTGCTGCTGTGACCTTTTATTTATTCGTTTTTTCCACAACAGCTACATCGCCTTGTTTGGCTGTTAAAGTAGAGCATATTTACAAGTATGAATAATCCTCTGAAGTATATTGTATGTTTTATATACAGAGAAAATAGCCTGTATTTGACCGAAATTCGAGAATCGTCAGCAAGCCGACTATAGATAGCGATTGAATGTTTATGATTGTAAATGAATGGGATGCTAAAACTTAAAATTTTCCCAATAAATATGCAAGAATTAACCTGGCGTCCTCCATTCCTGTTCTTTCCAACGACAAAGCACTTGAATGCAAGCTCGTAACAGCAACTTCAGAAACAGGAAGTAGGAATTTTCAGATAGCACGAAAAGGCAGAATTAGTGCTAATGCAAGTGTCGCCTTTAACATATGACCCGATTACTAGGTCATATTATATAAACACTGAGTGTTTATATATTTATATATAAACTCTACATGTGTGAATGAAATAATTCTTAAGCTGATAAAAAAAAGTTTGGGAAGCCCTGCCTTTGGCAAATGCCTGTTGGTTATCCGTGGTCTGTGGCTGACTAAACGGAAAGATAATCATTTGTGAACTTAAGCTGTTTATAAGCGGTTTCACTCACTAATGGCAGCCAGAATGTGTGTGAATGGATCTGGATCATGCAAATGGACTGATAACAAACTCCACATACTTTGAATTAAACATTCCAGCCCAATTGAAGCCCTTATCGTTATTTACACCCGGAATGATCCCATCTGCCAGATGACAAACATTTTCCTGCAGGCTCAAGCTGACCTTCTGGGCTACGCCCTGCCCCGTTCTGACCTTTGACCTGTTGGTATGCAGAGACACCCATTTCTCAAACAGCATTGGTGGCCTTAAGAGGCTTTTGTTAAGTAATTTAGACAAAGCAAAGACTCCTTGTGATAGTACTCTTTAAACAAGATGACAGATATTTCAGAGTGATTTAAAGCGCAGTTAACGTTACCATGTCTTTAAATGCTATCAGAGAAAAGATCTCTTTCATTTAAAGTAAACCAATGAAAGCTCAGATATGGGCTCAAATGTCTTGTACAGCATCCTGAGGTTGCTATCGTCAATCACGAGCAAGAGGGGTGTCAGCAAAAATGCTCCGCTGTCATCAGAATAAAGAAAGCTCCTCAGACTGTACATTTCTAGACTACATTGAAAATGCTTTGTTTGATTCATAACTATGTACAATAACAGTATATCTACAGGAGTAGAATCAGTTTATTGCTTTGTTCCAAAACCTGTCTCCCTTTTGACACCCATTTTTTGGCCCGGGGCTCTAGACTGCGAGCAAATGGTTGCATTTTGCGACCAAAATTTGAAAGTGTGCGACCAGTAAATTTGCCACACGTTAAATGCATGGTTAAAGGGATAGTTCACTTTGAAATTAATTTTTGGTATGTTTTAGCTTACCTCAAGGGCATCCAAGATGTAGGTGTCTTTGCTTTGCTTATATGTTTAGGTCAAACCGTTGGTGTCTATCAGTCATATAATGGAGGTCTATGGGGTCCACCTCAAAGAGCATGCACAGAGAAGTCCAAATTAAACATGATTTAATGACTCGTAAATGTAAGTACACATTGATGGCCTAAGACACGACATGAGCGTTTTGTGTGAGAAAACGAACAGTTTTATATCGCTTTTACCTCTTGTAACTACAGCCACGTTTAAGTAATCTGAGGGCGTGGGTGTTTAGTGGCTGTGGTTACAAGAGGTAAAAACAATATAAATACTGTTCATTTTCTCACACAAACTGCTCATTTCATGTCTTAGGCCATCAATGTGTACTTACATTTACGAGTCATTAAATCATGTTTAATTTGGACTTCTCTGTGCATGCTCTTTGAGGTGGACCCCATATTCCTGCATTTTATGACTGACAGACATGAACGGTGTGACCTAAAAATATCAAAATTGAAAATACTGTGGAAACAAAGACTCCTACATCTTGGATGCCCTTGAGGTAAGCTAAAACATATCAAAAAGTAATTTCAAAGTGAACTATCCCTTTAAGCGTGGAAAGGGCGTGTCAATGAATACACAACAAGAATTGCGCACGTAAACGTCTGTGGGAAGGAGACGGAGACAAATATCACCTGCTATGTGCGTCTGAGCAATAAGTGATCTATCGACTCGTTACCCATAGACATATACACTAGACCTCACCTTGGCTACGGCAGTTCATTGGAACAAATGCGTCAATAGAGTCGCCATCTTGAAACAGGGGAGCCCCTCCACTTTAATGGATCAGTGTCAATGTAGTAGACACAGCTCTAACGGAAATAAAATCACTTTTTTTTTTTTTAAACATTCTTCCTTGTTCAGATTTCATCCGTGAACATCATACGCTGCACAAAAGTCCAACACCATCAATGAATTCGAAGTAAAGGCAGAGATAGCAGCGTTACCTATATACTTCCTACGACAAGACCCCTGTTCCAAGATGGCGGCGGTTTTGACGCATGCTTAGAACCCCAAGGTGACGTTTAGTGTATATGTCTATGCTCGTTACCGAGCAGCGAATGCAAACAAATGAAAGTGGAACGAAAATACACCATTTATTAGTTTAGACCAATAATAGACAGAGCAGCGCATAGCCTTTATTATGTATATCTATGGAGCAACGCCCCGAACCATTGACAGTAAAACAAAGACACGAACTTGCTAGTCGCGGGACGATCTCGATCACGCGACACTACTACTAGAAGATCCATTGAAGAAATCCATTAAATTCGCCTCAGAACTAATAACATCATCGCTACGAGATCCAGTGAGAAACATTTCCATTCGGCGCAGTTCTGTAATGAAGCATAGATATCACACCAAACAGCGCTGACGTGGAAACCAGGAGAACCACTTATAGAAGGTTTTCAGTCCACAAATCAGCAACATTCACCGTGGATTAGGCTAATGTAGTAACTTAACTCTAATCATAAATATGATAATGTGACAGAAATAGTCAAACGCAGTAGCTTACTATACAATTTTATTCACCACAATATCATGTTTTATTTTTTGTTTACCAACACATTTTTTTTGTTCACCCTTCAAAGATCGTCCTAAAATGAAAAATGTTAAGATGTTGGAAAACTCTTATTTAAACACTATTTTAAAAATAAATAAATAAATAAATAAATAAATAATAATACCAATGTAAACAGTAGGATGTTTATTGGCTATTTTCACTCCTTATGTTTTCACTGCTTTTTTTTAAATTAATATTAAGACATTATAAATGATAATAACTAAAGTTAATTTCATCTACACCCTAAATGAAGCTTAATGATTTATTGTTAGCCCCAGTGCTACAAGATTATTCATTTATTTATTGTAGAACTCAATGCGAGTTCTCATTTGAGGTGGTGCTGCCCTCAAATTTGAGTCTGTGAACTTGAAATAAAACAGCATATCATAATGTTAAGTCTATTTATTATTAAAGAATTTGTCAGTATTACTGTTATTTTGGGGGAAATTTGAATAACTGCATTGCAAGCTGATTTAAAGTGTGCCCTTAAATTTTCTGCTTGTGCTCCTAAAATTTTCAGTCAGGGGCAACAGTGCTCCTAGTCAAAAAAGTTAGTCTGGAGCCCTGGTATACTATGTTGTCCACGTTCAAAGGCTGCAACCTTCTCGTCGCCTAGCAACTGCTACAGCTGCCGTTGACGAGCGGCAGTAACTTTTGTACTGGACTTTTTTTAAAGTTTCAACTTCCTAAAAACAAAACGGGGTTCTTAATATGTTAACTTTGGTCCATTTATATACATAATAAAGAGTATAAACTATATAAAATCATATCTTGATAAGATACAAAAACATTTGAACCAATTGGCCTTTTAATTGGGACACAGCTAACGTATAGTATATCAGCACATTTGAAATCACTAAAAATGTCGCTGCGCTTGTATTTGTTGCCCAGCCCTATTTGTTTGAACTCTCACCTAAGCTTATCCTTCGCCTACATCTTACGTCATGCGTCGTGTCAGAGGTCACTCCTCCACTGGAACCGACGTACGGTTGTTACTGGAAGCCACTGTTTATAATATATGGATATTTTTTCTTACAAAAACACATCGCTTTACTTCAAAAGGCTTTATTAACCTCCTGGATCCATATGGACTACTTTTATGATGGATTTTTGGGCTTCAAAGTCGAAAGTACCATTCACTCCCATTATAAAGCTTGGAAGAGCCAAGATATGTTTTTAATATGTAACTCTGTGTTTGGCTGAAACAAAAAAGTCATATACACCTAGGATTGCTTAAGGGTGAGTAAACGAAGGGATAGTTCACCAAACAATGTAAATTATCCTATAAAGTGCACATCCAAAGGGCACTTTACTACCCCATAAGGTCTTCGAGGATTTGTAAATGGAGATGCATCACAACTGTAGGTCATTGGTAGAACATCCAGACAGATTGCATTTCTCTTTGTCTTGATCAGATCCATTCATCATTTTTCAGAACTGAGTCCATGAAATCTGACCTTTTCTTGACAAGTGACTGCTTAAGTTGACCAATGAAAGCAGTTGTGGAGCCATATGGTCACATGACAATGCCAACTTGTGGATGTATTGTCTGTCCAAATACCCATACTTTAAGGTTTTTGCACTTAACCACTGTACTGTATTTTTGGAGTTTGTCCAAAGTGTTTAAGTGGGCGGGACGATTTTTGTTTACTTCACTGCTGCACATTTTGTATGTCTCCATCTAACACACCTGATTCAATCAGCTCATTAACACAGAAAGCAAGATTCGCCACCTAAAAGTGTGTACTCTTTTTGTGAAGAAAAAGTGGATACTATTGAGTGTGCAGCAGAAGAGTAGACAAGCTTTTGGGACAAACTATCACATCCTGTCAATCATCTTGTCAAGATAAAATCCTCCACATTTAATTTCCTTTTTTTAAAAAAGTTCATATTTTTGTTGCAGATGAAATAACACGGATAACATTACATAAATATTTTAATCAGCGCCTTAAATGTTGATTATCAGTCATTCAAACCACTTTATCCAACCTCTCTACTCAACCCCATTCGCCATGTTTTGTAGTTCTGAACTGGATCCTCCTCCAAAGCGCAATGGGTTGTAGGCAATATGAGCCGTTATAGTGTGCACGGATCCACACTTATACAGTAGACTAATCTTTTCAACATACTATGCTTTGGGACACACTTATTTTAATCTCACATACTGCTTAGGATGGATAGTATAATTTAGAAGTGGGCTTTGAATATTGTGATAAGCGAGACTTCAAAAATGTGCAATGGTGGGGGTTCCCCAGGACCGGTTTGAGAAACACTGCTTTGCTTTACTCAATGGGACACACTTCATCACTTTCAAACATTTACACACTGCATATAATCTCTGCACCAATAAAATGTGCCACATTTTACAGACAAATTATCCCCCAGCCAGTTTCACAGGCAAGGCTTAAGCCTAATCCCAGACTAAAATCCATGTCTGAGCCGTCTTATATGTGGTGCCATTGTTTTGCCTCAAGATGCACACCAATGACATATTTTTTTTTCGGGTTCATAAAAGCTACTTTAGGCTAGTGTTATTGTATGACTACAGGTGTGTTTGGATCTCCAGTAAGGGTGGAAAGACACTGGGAAGCCGGGGGTCGCTTAACCGAGGCTCTCCGAGTAGTTTTTTTTTTATCTCCGTGTAGTTCTCTTCTATACACAGTTTTATTTATATAGCGCCATTTAGTAAAGCTTTACTTACTTAAATGTCACAATTGAACAATGTCTGTGAAACTGGGCTTAAATGTAACATCAAATTAAACTTACACTGAAATGTTTTCATAGATGTGATGCAAAACCAGGCCCAGTAAGTTCCTGAATGTGATGAATAACGGGATAAGCTTAACCTCAAAGATCTAAAGTGAATTTAGCGTGTGTTATGTGTACTGTGGTTTGGCATTTCTGTGACCTGGGACAGTTTTGCACACTTACTTCTGGTTGTATGCACTCTCAAGTGGCCAAGACGGCAAGTGTGGGTATTTGGAAAGACCCATTATGTCCAAATTGCATTCATACTACACCGTTACATAATTTACAGAATGCACTTTATGAATGGTCACCAAGTAAGCATCAAATGTACAGTAGTTCCTACAAACTGTGGAATTGGGGGGGTTGGGAGGGATTGGTAGATAGGTTGTTGTTTGTTGTGTTTCTTTTTGGCATGTTTGTGAAAATTTTAAACCTAATAATAAAAAAAAAGACAGACAAAATATTCAGGGCTAAGGCCCTCATATTCTTACAGTGATTTTGGAAAATGAACAGGTGTGATGTAATTTTGAACACAATCTGGCCAAAATGAAAGTGTTTTATTTCAGTGCTTTGAAACCTTTTACCAATGTGATCTTTTCTGAAATTCTGAAACACAAATGCAACAAGTTGTTTACATTACCAGCATGATTTTCATAAAGTAGGCTTTTTAGGAGTTTAGTGTTCAATAGCTTAGATGTAACTTATACTTTAGCAAAAAGTAAAAACACTCAACACAATTACAGGATCCAAAGAGGTACAACTTTATTTGTAAACAACCAAACATTTATAATAATAATTAAAAAAAAAAAAAACTGCATAGGAAATGTTTAAAGTCCACAAAGACGAAAGAACAAGACTGCAGACCACTAACTATCTCATATAGCCTTTTCATATCAGCCTTATTCAGAGTAATAAATGACTTTGGTTGAGAGGGTGACCGATGGTAGGATGGTGAGTTGTGAAACACAAAGAGAAAGAGATGGAGAGAGTGGTGGGCCTCTTAGAGGGCTCCTAAGCCAATATCATCCAGGACAACTGACCTGGAATCAGCATTTGCTACTTTGATTCTACCCTAATCGTTGTATTTTAAAAGGCAAAACTGATTCCAGGTGAGAGCTTTGGGGCAGAATCTCGCCACACCTCTTTTGCTTAGCCCGTCTCACAGCCAAGCCTCTTAAAAGCACTGAGAAAGTATTGATGTACATGTCAAATTTCAGGTCTAAATGTCTTTCTGAGACAGACTGTTGCCCTCAACGTTCTTGAAAAAAAGAAGAAGAAAAAAAGGATTTCCAAGCCTTAAGGCATTTCTGATCATCTCAAGGCAATGGTTTTTTTAGCAGCCCTTGAATACACATTTGATCATAGCATATCCATCCATCCATCATGGGGTTATATAGTTATAAAATCAAGATAGGATTGTGTAAAGAACACAAAATAAAGACATGCTGGTATTAAGGTTATGAATCGTTCACCCCCTCATTGACTGTTAACTGTGACGTGGTTGAAAAGGATCCCATGGAATTTAATAACAGCATTTTTACCATCAAAACACACAAAAAGCTCATGAAGTACTAACAAAGGATTCACTATCAAACTGTAAGAAACAAATATTGAATTTTTAATCAAATCTCAAATCTCTACAAAGCTACCTGAGTTGTTTTAATGTGTATACACATCTCTTTTTCCATAAGATAATACAATCATAAAAGGGTCTATGACCACACAATTCTGAACTTACATTTTCTGTTTTTCCCCAGTAAGGAAGAAGTCATAAGCTGGAATACACCAGAAATGGTGACAAAACCCGTACAATTAGAGACCAGAGGTCCAAAAAAGAAAAAAAAAAGAAAAAGAAAAAAAAAGAACCTGCAATGATCTGGAATTCAAAGACACCGACTGTGTTTAATAACAGCCGACTTTCATGTCCACTGAGGCAGAAAGTACGTAGATGACATACGGTATCAGTCCTACAAAAGTGAATTGTATCTCCAAGTAGAACGTACACTTTTAATAGTATCCTAATCACTGCTAAAGGGGTTTTAAATAGTGGCTTACTGATCTCGCTTCCATCAAAACGGCTGGCTGATTCCTTCACCTAATATAACGCTACCACCACACAGATGGAGATCAGTTTTTTTTAGCGGTAACTGTTGTGAGCTGGAATCAAACATTTACCCATCTTTGGTCCTGTAGGGCACCTGCTCAAAAACTCGTGTTACACACAAAAGCCAACATCTAGGGACGTGTTCTGCGAGCGTTTCGCCACTATGTTGAGATATCGACACAGTATGTTGAAATACAAGAACGACCGATGCCAAACATATTAATCTTTGGGCGAAAAATCGACTTATAAATACATCCGGTTTCGTTTGAACGAGGTCTTTGGCAGTTTTCCAGTTCTGATGCTAAAGCTAAGAAGCTGTGGTAAGGCATCTGAATGGAGCTCAATGAGGTACCTTACTCTGTAAAGCTATCTAGAAACAGTACAATCATATAGTCAATCATTCACCATGACCAAACAAATGATATTCACGTAAATTGATTTTTTGGTACATTAGAAAAGTGTCCATGTTTTCTTCCTCCCTCCCCTTGTTTTCCAACATCCACCTGTCTTCACGGACCTTTACAGCATGCAAAAAATAAAGTTCCCTCTTAAAGAGAGCAGGGATTCAGGGAGAAAACTTTGCAGCTAAATACTAATCAGATCGAATGTGATATTAATACTGTAAGACAGGGAAGATTAGCAAATCTTTCATTCTTTATTGCATAAGCTTCTTACGTCCATCAAATGGGTTTCCGTTACCCATGCTGGTCCTTTTATTCCTCTATTGTGGTCTAATGTGCAGATGTCACTGCTTTCCACTCTAACTATGTGTAAAAAGCAACATTACCATAAAATTCACATCTCTCGTTTAAGCTGCAACATAAATATGCCTGATGATCCACAATTATGAGGTAATATACGTAAAGAAAAGAACTGTAAAGAAAGTTCCACTTTATAAATGAAAAGCAAACGCTCAATGCGGTCAATGCAGAATCATTTTTGGCACTTGCCTATTTCCTATAGCCACCCTTTGGCAAAGACATTCGATTTCGATTTATCTAGCATCCCGAAAGGCACAGGCAACTAGTACATGCAAGCACGTTAATACTTACGACAGGACACAAGATAACTGCAGCCTACAGGAAAATCTTTCCAATAGGTCATCCAGCTCTCCCACAATTTCTGATTTTAAATGTTACCTCAAGTGTAAAGCGGAAAGCAACATGCAAACTAATCCCAAAGGTTCAAAAGGGTTGATTCTGTAAGTGGGCCAGCCAACAAGTCGGTACCACACACACTCTTACAGTTCACTCACTTCAAAATATCCAACACACAACACATGCCCAGATTAACAAGGAAACACTCTGCATTTAGTGGTTAATGATTCTCATTGCCTCTTTGCGTGACTTCATATAACTTGCAATAACTGAGGTATGACAACATTGGTGAGAGATACTTTCCTTTTGTCATAAACTTTCATAAGAAGTTCAGGCAGACTATAATGGGAGAGTCGTGTGCTTTTGTTCTGCTGTATACCAGTGCTATACATTTATATATTATTTTTCTTTCCTCCTAATGATTTGCTTAATCTTTTTTTTTTCCTTTTAATCAATTGAAGACTGAAGAAAACACTTTAAAGTGGTTACCCACAAGTCAGGCACAAACTATCCGATTTCAAACTGGGTTTAATTGATTCTAAGTGTTTTCAAATGATGTTACACTGACTGAGTGAATGGTCTCCCTGGAGGTCTTTCTTTAAAGTGGCACAGGAAGCACTGTAGGCCATGCTGTAATCAATAGAACAACAAAAAACAACTTATGATCTAATGAAGCGGTTTGTAACGAGACCTAAGAACTGGGCCTCAAAATACATCCAATATTGAAAAAAAATAAAATAATAAAGTTTCCCAAGTATGAGAGATAACTGGCAAACAAGGATATAATCCAGTTCGTCAATCAGGTGCCTCTATTTGAACAAATTTTACCTTGCCTAAATTGTTCATATGAAGAGACAAAAGCATAATATTAATAATAGAAACACAAAGGTAAGGGCTAGGCCATTAGATATTCCATTTAGTGTCTACATTCTTTCAATGATCTAAAGATATTATTTAAAGAACATTCTCCATTTCATTCTTTTTTATCATATCATATTTAAAATAATCATGGTTATCTGTTCTTCTAAAGTTGCATTTCTCATTGCAAACTCTTGATTACATCATGAGGGTCCTATTAAATTACTAAATTCTGATAATTTGCCTAGTTTAGCAGTCCCTTTCATTAGTTATACAAAATTAATTTTTGGTAACTGCTTGCATAATTTTCAAATGGAAAAGACCATAAAGTGAGGTAAATGTGTAATGAGGCTCATGGACCCAGAGGTATAATACGGTAAATGAGGTAAGAGGTTTAAATGAGGTACGAGATAAAGATGAAGTCTGATTTAAAATGTACACGAAAATTCAAAAAAAGAACACATAGTAGTAGATGTATCAAAAAGTCATCCTTATGTTTCTGCCAAAACATGCAGCTCTGTTTTTGTCCATCGCTATGAGAAACATTCAGGGACATAACTTGCGTTCTTTGCACAGTAACAATCAGGAAAAAAATTGTGCGAACTGTGCAAATATCCAAACATTGCTTCATTTTGTTTTCTTTTGTTTTGTTTTTCCTCACATTTTACAAACAAAAAAAAAACACTGAGGTAGACGTTTCTTTATAAAACTTCACGGACTAGGTCTCTGCACAAACGCGAGTACATTCATACATAAGCTAGATGAGGTAGGTGGGATGCAGAGAGAAAATATTTCAAGAATGCAAGAAATTCCCTGAGAAAAAAAAAAGAAACAGGATTTGAAGACACATACCAAGAGCAAAACACTCTCAGCTTGCAGCAATCAAAACGGTGTGCTGTAACGGCAAGCATTTGGTGTTACACTATCACTGAGAATCGTACAAAACTATCCACAACTGTCGTCATCTTGCAAAGATCAAACTGCATTTGCTCATGATAGATGTGCAAAATCTTTCAAAATCCATTTGTCCACAGCTATAGTTTTGTAATTCAACCAATAAAAGGTCAGAACACGAGGATTCGGTTGTTTCCAAAGTCCACAGCCACAATCATCCCATCAGGAGTAACCGCTATACCAGAGGGGCGATCCATTTGGCCGAAGCCGCTCCCTTGAGTCCCAAACTTGCATAAAAAGTTGCCATTGGGTTCGAACACCTGAATGCGATGGTTGCGGGAGTCAGCCACGATAATACGATCCTCCTGGTCCACGGCTACGCCTTGCGGGCGCAAGAACTGTCCATTTCCGGTTCCCTCGGACCCAAGGAAGCGTGCTGACTGGCAATCGGGCCTGATGACAAGCAGTCGATGATTGTTGAAGTCGGTCACGACGAGGTGGCCTTCCTGATTAAAAGCTACACCGCGAGGCGAGTCAAAATGTTTCCAGAGGGCACCTTCGAATCCGTATTTGTTAAGGAAAGTCCCGTCAGGCCCAAAGAGTTGCACGCGGTGGTTGCGTGTATCCGAAACCAGGATCTTTCCCTCGGAGTTGACGGCAACATCCCACGGGTAGTTGAATTGCCCATTTTTGGTTCCCTTCTCGCCAAACTTGACAAGAAACTGGCCATCGAATGAGAAAATCTGGATGCGGTGATTGTCCTTATCTGCTACAATGATTCTCCTCTGGCTGTCACAGGCGACCCCAGCTGGGCGGTCAAACTGGCCCGGTCGTGAGCCCAAAGTGCCAAACCTGTGGTGGAACGTGCCACAAGGCTTGAAGATCTGCACGCGGTTGTTGCTTCGGTCGGCAACCACCACGTAGCCCTCCTTATCCACGCAGATGCCCCAAGGCCGACACAGTTGCCCGTCCCCATCGCCCTCTCCTCCAAAGGTTGCAATGGGCAAGCCAACGCCGCCGTAACTGCGGCCGGACTTGACCATCACTTTGAATGGACTTCCCTCAATGTGCTGATTGCATACAAGCACCGAGAGCAAATGCTCACCCTCGCTCTTGGGCAGATAGCTGACTGTGTACGTTCCATCTTGGTGATCAGAAACATCTGCGCTGGACAGATTACCATCCGGATTCATAAGCACAACCGAGACGCTGTCACCACCGGACAACCGAGGTTCACCATCATGATCATACCCTACGACAGTAAAGGAAGCTAGCTTTCCTTGCAGTGCTCTCTTGAGGCCTTCACCATGAGCTTTGGATGCTGTGGCAAAGGCTCCACTGCTGATGAGGCCCATGGACTTGATGGCAATCAGAAGAGCCTGGTCCGGAGGGGTGAACATGATGCGATCGTCTTCTTGGGGCTGCAGGAAGCAGCGGAGAGATTTAAGCTCCTGTAGCTGATTTAACATGTGCTCACGTGCTAGCAGGACATCTATGCTACGGCCTTCTTCTAAAACCTGCGTCACTGTGGCGATAGTACTATCCAGCTTGGTGAGATTCTGGTGTAGTTTCTCAACCTGCAGGTAAAGTGATTTTGCCTTCACCTGGCGGATCTTCTCCACCTGTGCAGGAAACAAATTTGGTTGCTGATGCTTCAAAAAGTATTTCAAAGCAGAGTCAGGACTATATTTTATACTTAAATATGAAGACAGACTTTCAAAAGGTAGTTACTATACTCCAAGAATTAAGGTTCATTCATTCACCTTCCACAGCAGCTCACACTCGCGTTCCTCCAGAGCTTTCTTATGACGTAGAGTTATGGTTTTCACTTCTGACTGCACAACCTTAGCCTTCAGCTCCACCTGTTCAGCAATGGCTTGGGCTTTCTCGATGCTCAGCTGAAAGAAAGTAAAAGAAAGGGATTAGACAGATGCACCCTCGTGAGGACATTGCAATAAGCTCTATGCACGATCGCTTCCGGGTTTGTCTCAGCACGCCCAGTTACATCCGGTGCTGCGTCAGAAGCCGGTTTTGCATGGCAAATTACACTCGCTGTTTACAAAAACTTCCTGCGGTTAACGTGAATGATGTTAACAACAATGTGAGGCAGTTAGCTTTCACACATAAGAGTAAAAAAGAGAAGGGCTTTAAATTATATATTTCGAGCTACATCAACAACTTTGAGGGTGAGTGTTCTCTCATATCGTGCGAAATCCGACTAGCGAATCAGTTTCTAAAATCGTTGTCTCCATTTCTGAGAAAATGAATTTTATTAAAGTTTTGCCGCTATACACTTTGCCTGCAGAACGCGCTTGCGGAAGAAGCTGGCTGAAATTCTTTCGGACATACGTCAACAGGGTTCGTGCATAGAGCGTATTCACTGGAAAAACTGAGTTATTACATTTGTCGTCATTTGAAATGGTCTTGAGAAAAAAAATTACTGATATATTAAGACCGCACACAAAATAACTGATTGTTGGGCAAAGTCGGTAAGGGAAAAGTTACAAATTTGCAATAATTTAAAGGGATACTCCAGGTTTTTTTTGGAAATAGGCTCATTTTACCAGACAGTTTCTGGTCCCATTGACTTCCATAGTATATTATTTTTTCCTACTATGGAAGTCAATGGGACCAGAAACTGTCTGGTTACTGATATTCTTCTAAATAAATTTTGAATGGATATGAAAATGCTAAAACTCAACCTTTTAGTCCTCTGTTATGCCATACGGAACCGTTTGCCACTGAAACGCATTTCCACGACAGTGGGGCTCGACAGCCTTAGTCAAACGGGTCGGCGCGTATGGTAGGGTTGCGGAGAGTTCAGGTTACGGAGAGTTTGTGAGATAGTGGTTTTCTAACACCGACTCCCGTATAATGGAAATCATTATGAACATCAGCTATGCTAATTATTTCCCATCTGCCTTTCTGCTGTTATCTCGGGACGCTTGTCCCGAGAAAAATGGCGTTTGTCAGGTCCAGTTTTGTATCCAGCCTCTCACGGGGATTCGGATGCCCCAACGCCTGTGATGAGAGGACCAACGCCTGTGAAGAGACGACTCAACGCCTGCGATATGTTATGGCGCCGTTTTATACATAAACAATATTTATATTTAATATTTATATATAAAAAAAAATTAATGTAAGCCAGAGGAGAAATGGCCCCCGACTGAGCCTGGGTTCTCCCAAGGTTTTTTCTCCATCCAATCTGATGGAGTTTTGGTTCCTTGCCACTGTCGCCTTGCTTTTGGCTTTGCCTAGTTGGGGTTATTTAGTGTTTAGCAATGTTGTTGATCCATGTTGTACTACTTTCATGTTATCACTGTGAAGCTGCTTTGATACAATCTGTATTGTGAAAAGCGCTATATAAATAAATGTGACTTGACTAGTTTAACTCTGAGGCAGTTGTAAAAAGAGCCTATTTCCAAAAAAAAGTGGAGTATCCCTTTAACACAGTAGCAAGAGAACCCAAAAACTTTGCGATGATTTGTGGATTCATTAAATTTCTTCATGTAATTAGCAGGTGTCAACTCTGGCCCCCTTTCTTGTAGAGTTTAGCTCCAACCTGGATTAAACTCACCTGCCTGTACCTTTCTAGTAAGACCTTGATTAGTTTGTTCATGTGTGTTTCATTAGGGTTGGAGCAAAACTCTGATTTAGACCAGACCCTCAAGATCTACTTTCCTGCAATGAACGAATTAATCCATCAATATTTTTAAAGTCATTTCAGAAGTTTAAGTTCTTTAGGTTGTCATAGTTTAACAAGCTGCAACATTTGGGTCTTGACAAATGAAGTCATTTCAATTTTAGTGCATAGTTTTAGGAGCCAATAGCTCCAATGTCATTTCTTTATTCTGCAGTTTATTTATTTATATAACCTAAAAGAACCAAATCAAACTAATAAATAAAAATAAATTACAAACTCTCCTCCACCAAACAAAACAGCTAAAATGTCTTGGTTTGAAAGGCTCCAAGAAAGAATAAAGGCGCCCTTTGTGATATCACACAAACGAGGGATAAAAACTCTGAATACAATGACCTCCAACATCTGCTTAAACAACAATCTGCGCACAGTCCTACCTATGCATGTCAGCTAACTTCTAAACTGCTTACCATTCTAGCATATCAGAATCTTAGTTTATATCCAAATCTGATTGAGCTTTCAGGGATTCCACTATGATCCAATGGAGCTTTCGCACAGGGCGCGTTTTCTGCGCTCCGAGCGCCAGCCGCAATGTTGGTCTTGTTTCACTAGATTCCATCAAACCCTGGTGCATTTGTGTTTAATCTTACGTCATCACAAACGTGCATGGCAGATGATTGAACACACACATACAATGAATACATTCACCTGCATTCTATCACATGAAGGCTTGCAAACAGTCTCTTTTGAGAAAGCTGATTCCGAGCCATTCATTTGTGGCTTTGATTGCACTTTCTCCACTCTCCATCACAGGCATCCGAGGCAAATCAGCCACTGTCATGCTCTGAATGATTTTTGAGTGCTTTACATGCTCTAAAACATCCCCTAAAACAAGTGCGCACCCAAGTACGAGTTGCTTTTACATTCATGCAAATAGAGCTACAGTTCCACTGCAACCACATAACAGCTTTCACATTAGCAGTTTTCATGTGAACCGTTAACGTCGTCCTGTTTGGAACTAAACTACCAGTGTGAAAGCACCCTAAGGCCGTGTGTTCACCAAAGCGTTTTTAGCCAGCTGAAAACGCTAGACGCTCTGCTGAAGACGCCGTGCTTTGGGCGCTTGAGAGCGTTTTGGCAGCGCAGCGTTTTTTCCGTTGAGACGTTTCGTTGCTATGATACAGAATATCCGCAGCAGTTTGAATGTTGACAGTTGGTCGGTGTGGTATTAGTCCCGCCCCTCCTCCACTGTGATTGGACAGCTGGGTAAAAAGTGACCGTGATGAGCGCTGCGTTTTATCCAAAGTTGAACATTTTTCAACTCCCAGCGACCAGTAAAAACGCCGGGCGCTCGGCGCTTCAGCGTGGAAAAAAACGCTCAGTGCCTCGGTACGCTCATGACGTTTAAAAAATCGCGGCGCTCCCATTGAAAACAACTGAAAACATACGCCAGGCGCGTGGAAAAATGCTTTGGTGGACACACGGCTTAAGTTATCTTTTTGGCCATTATCAACTCTTAAGCATTATGCCATTTCAAAGATTATGGATGACTCATACAAAAATTCAATTTGTGATGACACCTGAAATTCACACGCATTGAGAGGAAATACCAAAGGACTCAAGAGGGTTTATATTATATTAAGAGCGGGAAAAAGAGTGGGAAAAAGGTAATTTTCTGTGGAGCAGAAGACCAGATTACCTTATCTAAACCAAACCACCATTTCTTCCCCAAGTATCTTCCCAACACTGGTTAAAAACCAATTGTAAATATAGTTCTTGAAGGAATAAAATGTTTATTTGTTTATACTGTGCACTGTTCAGAGTTTATCCCCTATTCTTGCAATTGTCCTCCAGGATATCTCAATTCTAAGATTGAGCTGTCATTCTCAGAATGCAAACCAATCTAGGGTCAGATACGGAATGGGAAGAAGGGAATAAGCAGCTGCAAAATAACAGGCTAAAATCCAGTAAATGAGATTATGCAGCGCTAAGGAAGACTAAGCTGTCAGGGGTCGGTTATGGAGCAGGCCCATCATGGGCAGCATGCTCCCAGAATAGAGATTACGACCTCTGGCTGAAGCCATTGTTAAACTCTGCATGCGCCTTCAAACCTATAAACGTTTAGAGGCTTCCTATTTAACACCATCCAGTAACAGGATTAGAGGGGCACTAGAACAAGCAGCCAATCAAGCGCATGAACACAGGTCAGGCTCTTTCAGCTGATGCTATAAGGCTGAGCCTGATAAAGCTTTAGGAGAGGTTTAGATAATTGAAAACGCATGGGCTATCTTCGGAATGGAATACTAGCTTACTACTTTCCAAATATACTACTAGGGGTGGACAATATAACAATACAATCCTTGATCTTATCACATTCTTTTTCACGTTGTTTTTTAAGACCATTTTGAAAGTCACTATGCAGATAAAGGGATCGTTCAATTTGAAATTAATTTTTGATATGTTTTAGCTTACCTCAAGAGCATCCAAGATGTAGGTTTTTGTTTCCGCAGTATTTTCAAATTTGATATTTTTATGTCTAACTGTTCTGGTCTGTCAGTCATATAATGCAGGTATATGGTCACCACCTCAAAGAGCATGCACGGAGAAATCCAAATTAAACATGATTTAATGACTCGTAAACAGTGTTGGTCAAGTTACTTGGAAATAGTAATTAGTTACGGATTACTTTTCTTAGAAAGTAATCCAATTACTTTACTGATTACTTATTTTCAAAAGTAATTAGTTACTTTACTAAGTTACTTTTCAAAAACATGATGCACGACCTGAATACGCTAAAGCAATAGACCTTTCAGCCTAATTCTATTCTTTCTGCATATTCCATCATCTAAAATTTAATCAAATTAAACATTCTCTTTTTTTAAACTTGTTTTATTAGTTTCAATATTTTAACTTTATGCACATTGCATCAAGCGAAAATTAAATGAACTGCAACAGTCTCAGACTAGAAGAAAATTGAACATTTCAACCTATTTTCTGCACATTCCACCATATTTTAATGAAATAAAGACAGTCCTTCTGTTAACTTAAATTTCTACATATTCCAGCATATAAAATACTCGCTACACAATTTAATGATGGAATCCATTTTGACGGCGACAACTGCAACAGCCAAGAGATCAGTTGTGTTTTTACAATTACTTATATAGCTTGTGAAAATCAATTGCACGATTTGTTTTTTTGTTGCACAGTTTTTTTACTACTAGTGTGTTTAGATTGAAAATGTGTGTGTGTGAATACAGTCATATATTTTTGGGTGAACTCTTTTTATGTTGCATGTGATTGCCAATCACTTATAACTGAAAGAAAAAAAAATATATATCCTAACAGCCCGTCCACAACTTAAAGGACCCAAAATAAAGCCGTCGTCACACTAAGCCTTTAAACATTCTCTGCATCTCTTTATAAGCATGTATTGAACATAGTAATACTCAATACTCATAGTAACACTCAAAATGTAAAAACAATCTACTCTACTGCAAAAATATCGTTCTTTTAATTCAGCCAAGAGGTCAAGCCGTGACATATCGATCTGCTACTGGTCACGTTAGTGTGATGTGAATTCGCTGCTTAGAAATTTTGGAACACAGCAAAATGCAAAACTTTTTGCATGAGCTCGCATTTCCGGTCCATCACATTCGCATTCGGTTGAATGGAAGCCAGTGAAACAAAAAAAGGTATAGTGTGACCACCCCTTGAGTGATATTTTTGTATTCACACACAAAGAAAGGGGAAAAAGTCAAGTGTGGGTAAACTGTTGGGGGAAGTATTCAAATGTAAACGGCACGTTTCAAAAGCATAAACCGCCATTGGAATTCATTCTCTTTAGTGCTTTTAACTGAAACCCATCTCTTCCACCTTTCACTTTCAAATTCACTTTGGGTTTCCTTGCCAACCGACTCCATGTCCCTGGAGAAGGATGGGTTTGAACAGTCCTAATGGGTGCCGTTCTCTCCCCCACCCGCAGCGCTACTTTGTGAGAAATAGAAACATTTGCTCTGTGTGCGACTAATGATCCGCCCTGCAAGGGCCATCAGGGTGTGAATAGAGGCAGTGACCGAGCACTGAGCCAGCGTCCCTCCCTCCCTCTCTTCTATTCTCTTCATTCAGGCTGAGTGGGGGCGATGCTAATAGAAAGCAAAGTCCTTTCAGGCAAGTCATGCCACTCGGCCGCCATCTTGGCAACACCTCTGGGCAGCTATTTCGGACTAAACAAGACCAGGCTCTATCTAAATGAATGGGCAGATAGTCAGAACTGCAGTTTCACTGGTCACCGGGACATAAAAACTGCAGTAAAATATGATAAAAAAATCACTGAAAAAGTTTGATGACTTTGCCCCAAAATAAGGTTTAAAACTTTTACTGCGCATGCGCAAGGGCTCTCTCGCTCTGTCGCGCACGCACTGCACAGTTTGAAACACAGTATGTGCGCGCTCTTGCTCGCTCGCTCTAGATTCCTGGAGATTTTAACTAATTTGCGGGCATCAGTGAGCCTCTATCAATCTGCGGGAGACACCCGGAACTTCTGGGAGACTTGGGATGTCTGATATTTACACAACACACACATACACTGCATATCAAATCTGCCGCCTTTTCAAACAGTAACGTATTTAAATGTTTCCCAGCTTGATCGCTAAAAGCAGACGATTGGCTGTTCAGCGGGAGGGGAGGAGCATTTGCATACAACCGCCATCTTTGGTGTTACGGGTTTTCCCTATACATTTGTATTAAGGATTGAGGAAGTGGCATGTCTCTATATAAATAGTCTCTGTAGAAAGTCAGCTTGATAGTACAGCCTCTTTTTAAAAACAGGGAAGGACCCTCACTCACGGTTAAGCAGTTTCAAGTGTGTTTGTCCAAAAAAACAGTCATAATTAGGGCTGTCAAACGATTAATCACGATTAATCGCATCCAAAATAAAAGTTTGTTATTACATAATATATGTGGGTGCACGGTGTATAATTATTTTGTGTGTATATATATATATATATATATATACACAGTATATATATATATATATATATATACAGTATATATATAAATACACACACATGCATGTATATTTAAGAAAAAAATATTATATATATAAAATATTTATAATTATATATAATATAAATGATATATAAATCTATATACTTTTATTTTGTTTGGACGCGATTAATCGCGATTAATCATTTGACAGCCCTAGTCATTAAGAAACAATGACCACTACTACTGAAAATAAAGAGGAAATAATTAACATTTAATGGAATATTAGAGACTAAATACCACGTTAATAAAATAAAAAGACATTAAACATAAAACATTTACTGTTGATATCTATAGGGAAGTTGCAAAAAAAGCTTTTTAAGCACATATAATATCTTGCATTACTATTAAAGCACAAAATATTTTGTTAAATTTACTGACCAATAAACAAATGACACTAAAGCAACTACAATGACAGCAGACTGGAAAGGCACCACACTAAACAACACTTAATAAATTATATTTGTCAATCTATTTATTGGCCTTATTCATTACTTTTGGTAAACAGAGTAAAGAAAATGAAGCGAGTGGAAGTCTTGTAGTACCTGATAAAAAGACACCGAGGTTAAGGTTCAAGTAAAACAGTATGCATGCTAAACAAAAGAATAAAATCCCCAGCAGGTGTTTGTGCTGATGTCCGTTTATTAGAGAGTGTTTGTCCACTAACCTGTATGGCCTGTCTACCCTGTTGTGCGTCTGCGAGAAGCTGGATTGTCAGCGCTCTGGAGTCCTGCAGTGCTTCCTGAAGGTAGGTGAAACTGTGACCTGCGTGTCGGCCCAAGCTGCACTCCCTGCAGATCGGCATGGAGCAGCTGTCGCAGAAAAAGCGCAGCACCTGTGAATGGAAACAAAACAAACTGTGTGAAATTAATGGATTTGCAGCACAATTTATTGAGTGTTCGACTGCAGTATATTGCTTGTGAATTTTTTCGAAGACTCGAGCATTGATAATGACGACAAAAATCCTTTAATATATTTTTGGCAGGAGATCCGAACATACTGAAGTTTATGCATCTTGTTTTAAGATCACTTTTTAGAAAATCTTTCATTTACATATTAAATATAAACTGTATAACGTGAAAACGTAACACGGTGCACTTACTGCCGTTCTAATGACACAACATTTGTCCAAAATTCGCTTTTTGGTAAAATGTTAATGACAAGTGTCTCATCATACATGAAGCCACAATATCAAATTTGATTATGCAGTATTTCATTTTATTTATTTATTTGTTTTGATCCATTGCCTGAAAAATTAAAATTGTTGCCTGACAGCAACAACATTTAAATATTTTTTCCATAATATAATACTAAAGGATGCAGGATTTTTTCGAATTACTAAAATGGAAATGAAAAAAAAATATATATATATATATATATATATATATATATATATATTCATTCTACTTGTTTGGAAGAATCCAAAACGGTCAGCAATGGATTCTGCATGCAAGACTGACATGCAGTGTGATCCAAATTGTAAATGTGTTCCTCTCGGTTTTAGAGTACAAATAAAATGTAAAAGTTAATTCAACAAGTGTGAAAAGGAAGCAGGCAGATTGCGAGATGTAATCAGTGTATGTGAAAGCAAAGGCCATGCTTACACTAAAACCACTCTATAATATAGAGCTCATAAACAGTTACATTGGTCAACTGCCAAGACTATAAATGTTTACATGTAATAGGGAGATGTGTTTATCACGTATATGGTTATAGAAGCACACTCAAATCAGCACATTTAACTCAAAAGAGAAAAAAAAATATTTTAATAAACTTACGTTCAATACCATGCTTTAAATTAATTTGATATCTATTGTACTAGGGATGAGTCACAATCGTCCAACCACCAACTAGTCAATTACTGGTTTACCTTCTTTTTTTTTTCCAAAAAAAAAACGTTTATTTTAATCTAAAATTAGCTTGTTGACGTGCTGCGCTTTAGCTTTTTACATTGTGTTTTTTCAAGGTTTTGCCATATAATCCTTCAGACAGCTAAATAAATAAATAGGTTTCATATAAAATATGTAGAGAATCTCATAAAATGTGACTTTCATTCACGCATAGTTACAATAATCAAAACTACTTTAATTCTGCCACAAACTGAACATTTTATATAAACCGTAAGAATGCCATGGCACGCAACAGAGAGTCTGAAGTCTTTCAAGTAACTTGACAAAGAAAAAGATCTCCCCCAAAACAGGAACTCGGCTCTGCTTTGGGTTTCCTGTGGTCCGACAGTCTGCTGATGGATTGCTTGAAGTCTATTGTTCTGTCAATCCTCTGATCCATTTGGGAGTCACTCCATTGTTGGAAGATATTTGACATCAAATAAACAAGACTTTCAATCAAAAGACGAACCTTCACATTAACTTTTGAAAAGAAATTAAATATAATCTCCGAAAAAGAAAAAAAAAATCTCAAAAATTAAATATAGTGTTTAAGGTGCACTGGATAATCCATTTAGGATTATTTTTCTTAGATTAAGACCTAAAGGTCAAAACCATGTAATTGACCTGAACTCCATCTCACCCAAACAAATTCTTCACCTTCCTGAGAGTCAAGCTCAGTGTCAGGTACAGTATTCCTTTTCAAACCCCACTAGACCGCCTTCCTGCAACCTAATGACTTTACCAAAGACCAGATCAAACGCTAATTATATCTCACTTGGCTATACGGCCGCAGCAGCTGCATGTAAATCTAGAGTCGTGATTCCACTCGAGTTACCTGCTCGTAAAACACGGGTCCCCTCTCTGTGGACCAGATGCTACAACTGTGCAGGAGCGTAAAGAGGTCACATGGAAGCACTTTTTGGGAAGCGGCTTTTCGGAGTGGCCGGAATTAGCAGGAAGCAACAGAGAGGTGGGGAGGAAACCTACCACCCAGGATTCCCATGTTCCGATGGCTTTTCTCACAGGCACAATGTGTAGCACAACTACATTAGCAGCAGCTGACGGATCCAGCGACTTTGCATTAAGGTCCCAATATAGTCACAGGGAAGATGGTTTTTTTTGTTGTGGTTTCCCTCGCAGCATTTAGATGAATATATAAATATGTGATGCATGCTTTCAATGACAAAATACTCAGACTCACAGTGGTGAGAAAACAGCAGTTAAGAAAACAACTGATCAAAGCCAAGACGTTTTAAATAAAGCAGGTTTATAGCATTACACATGAAAAACATCTTTTTCTACTATAAAGCAGCTCTCCAGTGTGTTCATATTTTACTTGCGTCTGACCTCGACGGACCGAATAAAAAATTAACCCGAGAAGATTTCCATGTCAAAGAATGTGGAGCCGCAGAGCACACCTACATATTACGCAATCATCACGGACCAAATGGCAGTTTGAAAGTTTACTTTGGAGAGCAGATTCGGACTCCCAAAAATGACTGCAAACAAACTTTTTTTGGCTTGATTTTGTTCAAAATAACTTCACACCAACTTTTTTTGCCACCATATTTACATATCTGCATTTTAATGGGAAATTGTTGTCTCCGGTGATGTGGAAAACAGCATGAGAGAATGGGATTTTCAATGGCTATGTGGCTGTTCCTGTTGGCGGCTTCTTTACACTGAAACTTTCACTGTAAGGACTGGTACATGAATCTTTGTCAAAGTACTCATGCTTCTTTTCCTGCCTATGTATTGACATCTATTATCTTCCATACTGGACTCAACTTTTTATCTTCCCCACCCCCATTGACTCTCTCTCAGGATTGGGGCCTCTTGTTGTGCCTGTGGCACCCACTGGTTTTCCTTTAAAACAGGTGTGGAAAGATAGAGTTTCCCCTCTCTGAGGTAAAGAAAGAACAAGCTTTACAGGCAAAACCTTTAGAAACAAAGAAGTGTCCTGCTAAATGAAAACTCTGATGAAGCTTCAATTTTGGTGAGCTTCATACAAAATACATATTTAATATGAATTGTCTCTTTCAAGAACTACTGTTCTTGAGGAACATACAGAATCATTCAGGATCCTCTGAAATCATAAATAAATCAAAGTTTGGCAACAAGGAGGAATGTCCTAATTACAGTAGAAAAGCTAGAGGAAATAACTTACCGATGGGGAAGGGGGCTTCAAAGATTATGTTGGATATTGGGTGGGCCTTCGGGTCAAAAAGGTTCACCACCAAATCTCCAGTTTTGACATTCTAGTCCTTAAATATGGCTTAGGCCCATTGTATTGCACACCAAAGTAGAAAAATAAGTGTATCTTCTAAACAAATTCACAATGCCTTGACAACATTGGAGCACACATATGGTTCACTTTAGCTTTATGGCATTACAGAGAACATGCCTGATCTGAAGTGATACCAAGCTACTGCAGTATAATAGAAGACATTGAGGTGCATCTTAACTGTGTATCACAAAAGTTTTAGAAAATCAAAAATAAAATGTAAACAAAAATATCTTTATGCCTCATATTAAGATAAAGTAAGTGTTAAAGAAACTCTTGAACTTAAATATGCAAGTGTAAACGTAGAGCAAATCAAGGCAAATTTTAAGGTAGATCAACATCTGCATAAGTAGGAATGTAATAGTTCTATATAATGTAATAAAAACATTTTTTATAAACTGTGGGTTTTCCTACATCTTGAAACTTTTAGTTTTATAAATGGGGGTAATATTTGAAGAATGAACAAATAATGTTTGTCATCGCATTAAAAATAGCATTTAAAATATGATAATATTTGAGTTTTGAAGTGCTGGAAAAAGAGGTGTGGTATACTTAAAAGCATTTACTATTCCTGCCAGTTAGTGTTATTACATCCATGATGAATATGACCGATCTGTGGACTTCGAGGGTTGTTTCACCCAAAAATTTAAATTCTGTCAGTTTTTTACTCGCCCTCATGTTGTTCCAACCCCGTAAGACCATCGTTCATCTTCGGAATACAAATTAAGATATTTTTAATGAAATCTGAGAGCTGTCCCACTCCTCCATACTAGTCCATAGGCTTCTTGAGGGAATGAAACATGCAGGCCTCAAAAAGTTATTAAAAAATTGTTAAAAATGTCCAAGTGACTTCAGTGGCTCAATCTTAACTTTATCAAGCGACGAGAACACTTTTTGTGCGCAAAACCAAACAAAAATAACAACTTTATTTCAACTATGCACTTCCTTCTCTATGCTCCTCTAGTCAGTTAACGTAGTGTGATAGCGTAGAGCTACGTCACATGTACGCTCACTATTGGCCGACGCTGGTCATGTGTGTGATGCGTGTGACGTACAATAACAGAAGCTTACGCTGTTACACTAGTTTAACTGACTAGAGGCAGAGAGAAGTAAATGAATAGTTGAAATAAAGTCGTTATTTTTGTTGTTTTTTGCGCACAAAAAGTGTTCTCGTCGTTTGATAAACTTTAGATTCAGCCACTGTAGTCACTTGGACAACTTTGAGGCCGGCGTGTTTCATTCCCTCAAAAAGCCTATGGACTAGTATGGAGGAGTGATCCAGCTCTCAGATTTCATCAAAAATATCTTAATTTGTGTTCCGAAGATGAACGAAGGTCTTACGGGGTTGGAACATGAGGGTGAGTAAATAAATACTGATAGAATTTTCATTTTTGGCTGAACTATCCCTTTAAAGCCTATAACTAGTTTCCACGTCAGCCCGGGTTGCAAAAGAAGGTTTGCAAGAAACCAAATAAAACTTTCCTTTGTTCTTCACCATGACAAAGTCCAGCTAAGGTAGAGGGATTACCATTATGGCAGACCTGTTTGACAGAACATCATATCAAAAGCTACAAAAAAAGCAGATGCAAAAGCTGTAAGAATGACAATATAACTTTCATGATCTACAATTTTATAATAATGCATTTTCAAATTATAACCACA